CAGGAGAAGAGATTCTTAACAGGTGTCAGAATTAGATTTTAGTGGGTCAGTTGATCAGCCTCTCACTTGCTGGCACTTAAACCAATCTTAGGATTAGTCCTTAGATGAGTAAATGAGAGCATATATGTGACAGACCACTTGCAGTTTATCTGTGGCAGAAGAGAAGCAGCACAGGGCTCTGTCTCTGATCTGTTTTGTTACAGCAGGAGCTGTCTCCACTTCTGACTTCTAAAATGTCTAACTTGCTTGTTTGAGCAATTTGCCTTCTCTTGCCAGGCAGTTCAAGGCATTGTCCCACACAGGAGGCACAATGACCTCCTTAAGATGAAGTGTTCCCTTTTGCAGTCTGCTCAGATGGAAGAAGATGGTTATTGGAGGCATTGTTGCCTCCTTGAATCCCAGAAATCCCTAATCCCAGGTTGTTCTTTAGATAGTCACAACTGCAGCAGTCTGCTGAAAGAATTTGCTTACTGCATTTGCAGCTTGTGCCAGCCACTGCCCCACAACTATCAGAAAGATAATGAGGGAAATAAAGGCTGTGCTGGAGTATTTTCCTTGGGAACTTTTCTGCCTGGCTTTCTGAAGCCGCTGGAAAAGTGCACTAAGGGAAAACAGGACTTAGGCTTACAAGCATTTCTAGAAAATCATCTTGCATAGTTTCCAAGTTTCTATAACTGCACTAAACCTTATAAATATTTACATGTTCTAAAGAAATAGTTTGGTTTTGGCAGCTAATTCTGGCTTATTTAATATGAGGATAATATTGACATCTAATAAAGAAGGAAGTTGTAAAAGTTGTAGGAGGATCAAGATGGTAAGAGTTGTAATTGGGTGATGGACATTTTTTTAAATTTAGACTTTTGAAATACCCTTCTTAATTTCTATAATCTAATATATACTAAGATTGCAAATGTCTGATCTGTGCTGTTCGTAAGAGGCAGGGCTTTGCTAGAAGAAGAAAAAAACCTTGGCTCCTGGTGCTGTGAAAATCTTCCAATAAGAGGAAATGCCTGAATTGCAAAATGGGAGCACAGTTGAACCTGTAAATGCAGAATTCTGACTTACACTTGTATTTTCTCATGACTTGGGTGCAGCACTTGGCATTCTGTCCTCTCCCTTAGGATGTCAGACTATAGTCAGAGGGTTTACATTAGGCTAAGCAGAATTTTTTAGGGGGCACACCAAGACTGGTGTACTCAGGGGCAACAGCAAAGGGACATTTCTGGAGTCCACTTTAAAGGAAGGTTGTGGTTGTGTGGATCAGGAGCAGGCACTGAGTCACTGGGATGTGTTTGTGTTGCTCTTGAAGCAAGTCAGGGTTGTGCCCTCACGAGGGTTTGAGCTCCTGGAGGCTCCTGGGTGTTCTGGGAACAATCCTAAGGCAAATGCCACTCTTCCTTTTGACATTTTACCAGTCTGGGGAATGCAGTGGGTGTCAGTGGGGAATAATCCAACTGGCACAGGACACGATTCTGTCTGCTTGTGTAAGTAATGAGGCACTTCTGTGTTGTGAAATGCAGGGAATTATAACATCAGTAAATATTTCTGTAGTATTTCTCATAAACAGTGGGGGTTTTGAGCTCTATTTAAATAGACTTAATGAATTGGAGGCTTTGGCTCATCCCACAGAAATCAAAGCCTTTGTAGGAATGTGCCTCCTATTGTCAATACAGGCATATTCAGTTCTCATTTTAGTATGGTGGTACTGAATTTTAGAACTGCAGGCATGGTGCATGTAGGCAAATTCACCTCATAGTTTTGGGGCAAGATTCGTGTTTTTTGGTTCATATTTCTGACAGTCTGCCTGTTATCAGTGTATTTTGTGTTCACTGCTGCCTTGGATTGTCTGGACTGGCACTTGCTGGGCTGTCAGGAATTTTCCCTATTCTGAAGTGGCTATAGTGGAGTAGATATTTGGTGGAACAGGTAAAGAGAAATGTGAACTTCTTGCTGTGGCTCAGAGGGGCCAAGGAGGCTTGTAGTGCCCAAGGAATATCAACCCTGCAGCAGTGAGTTGGATTAGACACACAAAAACTTTCTGATGCTTCCCCCTGCTATAAAGAGTAATTTTAACTTGTTTTGATTAAAGAACAGAGGATGACCAGATAGTATCCATGCACAGAGTTACATTGCCATTTCTCCATGAGCTGTAGCTGTGCTGGTTTGTATCATGCAGCACACCAACCCTATACCTGAAATACAACTAAAAATACATTTCTTTCTTTCTTTTATTTTAAAGGCCTAGAAAAAATACTCAGTTTGCCTGGTTTGGATGTATTACTCAATCTTTAGCTTAAACTTCATCAGCAAAGTTTAGAAATGTACTTTTTAACTGACAGCTTATATAACAATTTTAGTAATTTTTCTAGGACATGGGGCTTTTAGGAATGTCAAGTATTGCAAGACGTGGGAATAAACTTCCAGAACTGGCAGTGCTGCATAGAGCACATGTCACTGATTTGGATCCTTATTGCAGCTTGTAGTATTTGGTGCTTGAAAAAGGCATTGCCAAACCTCACATGACCACCTCAGCATCAGCCTTGGATCTCAGTTGTTGCTGAGGTTTGATGAAGAGTGGGATGATAATAAGTAGCTGAGGGTGGGGGACTGAAAGAACAATTAAAATTATGAATTTCCCAGTAGTAGGCTGTAGTAAAATGTACTGCTTGACAGGCTGGCTGGAATGTGATTTGGGTCTGATCATCTGTCACCAAAAGATCATTTTAGGGATATTTGTTTGAACTTTGAAATCAGTTGTGGATATTTGGGTACTCAGAGTGGCCACCTACCAGTCTTGGGTGGTCTTCGGTGTGTTTGTCTTGGGGGATGTGGTGGAAGGTGCAGATGTGGTAACAGGAATCTCCCCCTGTAAGTAGGAGTGGTTAAAATCCAAAAAGGGGTGTTGTACCTTTTAGTCTTTAACAAGGTGCTTCTCCTAAATTAATGTAATAATAAAAAAATAAGGATATCATAAGATAGCAGAGAACTTGCTCTTCTGTCAAATTTCATCTTTCCTCTGACTGTTGGGTTTGCCAGAGCTGTGGTATAACTTGTTTTAAGAAGATACGTCATGAGAAATTTGATTTGTTATCTGGATACACATACAAATCTACGCACACACGCAAAATATCAGTTTGGAGTATTTGTTTGGAATGATCATTGCAACAGCCATGAGGAATTGCCTTATCAGTGGCAGAAATGTTGATTGCATGGAAATAAAGTTCTGCACTTGGCACTTCTGACTCCTACAGAGCCAGAACTAAAAGTGGACAGACAAAACTCATCGGGGCGAATACATGGGCAGGCACTGAATGAGAGAGTAGTGCTGGAGGGGAACAGGAATGTCTTCCTTACAGGAGACAGACACATGCAGCACAAAACAATAAAATACTGTCTGTATGGTTTTCCTTCTGCCCTGGCCTGTTAGGACTTTGGAATGAGCGGGTAGATACTGTCTGACTAAAATCTGCAGTTGAATTGTTGTTTTGGAACTTCTCTGCATCAGACCACTGTTGAATAATCAAACTTATCTGTGTTAATAATCTTGTTATCTGTGGAAGCCTACACAGCACAGCTGATAACTTTGTAGAGAAATGTCTTGCACTGATAATCCATTTTCCCCGTGTTTCTTCTGAAAGCTTTATAATCTCAGCATTCAAAATGATACTTTTTGGTTGAGCTAAGAATGCTTTTCTAAATCCTGGATTAGCCAGGAAGCCCGTGGTTAGTGTGCTTCACTGCTGGCAGCCATTTCAATTTGTTGTGTTGGAGTATTTTTTTTTAATTTTGGTAGGGGATTTCTACTCGTTTGGGATGAGGGGGTGGGAAGTGTTGTGGTTTTTTCCTTTTTTTATTTAATTTCAAGTCCTGAGTGGGAGTGCTTGCCTGATTGGGTTTGATGACCTTTCCTGTTCATCAGCTTCTGTGTCTTGCTGAGCAAATGAAGTGAAGGATGGAGCTGGGTCTCAATCTCCAGCCTCCACTCAGCTGCTGACTCTCAGGAGCTAGAAAGGAGGTTTAGCTGCCGCAAATAGGGACAGGGTTTTCTCATTTGTCATCTGTGCTCTTCTCTGCTTGAGCTGCTGCAACAAGGGCTGCTTCTCAGGAGTGAGATTCTATTTACTGCTCCAGTAAAGATGGCTTTAGGGACACTATCCTGTTTCCTCAGTTCAGCACTGCACTGTTCTCTCGTGGACCATGTACCTAAATAGAATATATTTGAAGAAATTTCTAAATTTAGGAAGTCTTATATTGGAACAGATCCTGTTAGCAGCTCCACATCTTACTGATGGTGTATTCTGATAATTGCAGCTAAGGAATACATTCAGCATGATTGTCTTGATAGGAAGCTTGGTACATAAATCAAAGATTGCCAGGGACTGTAGAAGACGTTGGGGTCGTTCATTGTTTCTCTGATCTTGCTTTAGAAGGTACATACAATGTATTTAATTTCTCTTTAATTCAGTTTTAATAGACCATCCTGAGTGAAACTCTCAGGCTCCATTAGTAGCAGAGATGGTGAGCTGCAGAGAAAAAATTATGCTTTGTACCATTTGTACTGTTTGGAAAAAATAAAACTTCTAGTCCAAAAATCTTTCAATAGATCCTATTTATAGGATCTGGTAATTGGTGATAAAATAATCAAACTAATCTCTGTACTGTGAAGGAATTATTTTCTCTATGGTCAAACGAAATGCTCGTGTGTATGTTACTGCTGGTGTTTCATCATGGGTCCACTTCTGAGTTGGCTTTTGATCTCTTACATTTTCCAGATAGTGTGGGTAATAGAAATGGTCTGAGAGATGAGGTAAGTGTAAATATTTTGTAGCCTTCTGCCTAAAATAATAAAAAAATTGGCAAGTTTCTTGCTATGCAGCTGATCATCGTCTGTTTGGCCTGTAACAGAACAGCTACAGGTGAGCTGTGAAGGTAGGTGGCTTGTTCCAGAATGGCTGCCCGGCTGTCTGAAATGAGCTGTGTGTTGTTTTCTGTGCCCTCAGGAGTTGTGGAAGGTGATTTAGCTGCTGTGGAAGCCTACAAGTCGTCCGGAGGGGACATTGCCCGGCAGCTGACGGCGGACGAGGTGCGGCTGCTGAACCGCCCGTCTGCCTTCGACGTGGGCTACACCCTGGTGCACCTGGCCATCCGCTTCCAGAGGCAGGACATGCTGGCCATCCTCCTCACTGAGGTGAGCTCCCCTGGCCCTTGCAGGCATGGAGCAGCATTCAGGTGACTGCACCCCTGTGTGCAGCCAGTGGCACGCAGCTCTGGTTCGTGCTGGTGGTGGAGTTTACATGAATCGCTGCCTTGTGCCTTGGATTTCTCCTCAAGAAGTGAGTTTGCTTTAAGAGACTCCCTTGTGATGGTCCTGAGGATGTTCAGTTTCTCATTAATGAGCAGTCTTGGCACACGTTGTGACTTTACTGGCAGTGGAAGTGAGCTATTGTGAGGCTTCCTGTGCTCTGGGTGAGGGAGAGGAAATGCTCTCAAAGCAAAGCACTGACATCAATGACAGCGCAGTTTATTCTGAGTTTGTTAATCAGTAAGTCTACCTGGGCTGGCTTTCCTGGCTTTTGTGGGAGCTTCTCTTCCAGAGAGAGGCAAATTTCTTGCTTTGCAAAATTGCTGCATTTTTTATTATTCCTTGCCCAGTTTACAGACTGACTGGTTCCTCTGTTTTTTCTTCCACGTTCCATTGTGTCACCTCACATCTGGTGACCTCTGCTGTTCTCCATCTTTGCCCTGAAAATAATTCTGTTACCTTTTTTTGTCTGTTTTCTTCAAGTGACTTTTGGTTCCTCACCTGATCAGGGCCAGATTTTTATTCTGCCTCCTTCCTTGATGCTTAGTGCAATTTTGATAGCTGCTGTTTGCCTACAAAGCACATAAAGATGATCTAATGCTCAATGTTGAATAATTAAAAAGCGTAGATGAAGCAAGACAAATGCAGCTAAAGCTTTGAGTAGATATTTATACATGACTAATATCAGTAGCTTTGTGCTGCTTACATAACTCTGTGTGGATGGAGTTACATGTTTTAAAACAAGTTAATTTACTGAAATACTGTCTTAGGGATTTTTGTGTTTGCTTTTATTTCAGTGCCTAGGAATACTGACTCATCTTGTCATTTATAGAAATGCTTAGTTGTGTTTGAGCCCTAGTGATAATTTTGTTTTCTAGGATATGAGTGAGTGAAAATGTGGGTCTTAAAGGTGTTTTTTTATATGCATCTGGTGTCATCCCTGTGCCATTTGTCCTTCATCACTGAATGGGTTTCTTCTGCCAGTGATGACTAGAACTGGAGAAATTTAACTATCTTAGCTTCACAGTTTTTGGGAGGATTGTAGGAAACTGTCCTGTGCAGTGGAAATAAAATTTTGTTAAATCTAGATTTAACTCATGCATGAAATTTGAGATTGCTGTTACTATGAGCTCTTACCTATTTTTTCCCTCTTTTTCATCTGGGAATGGTCACCTATTAATTCACTTCTTCAATTTAAAGATGTTTTTAACAAAATCTATGTTATCAGTTCCATGACAGACATTTCATTAAGGGTCACTGCACTTCAGATCTCTCAGGGTGCCAGTGTTTACAGCTCTCTTGCATTCCTTGCTAACCAAATACTCTCTGCTGGTGGTCATCCCTCCCAAATCTTGATATTGAATGGGATAATCCTGAGTGCAGTAACTGTGTTGTTTTACAGGTGTCCCAACATGCAGCCAAGTGCATTCCTGCCATGGTGTGTCCAGAGGTCACGGAGCAAATCCGCCGGGAAATTGCTGCATCTCTTCATCAGCGCAAGGGAGACTTTGCTTGCTATTTTCTGACTGACCTTGTGACGTTTACGCTGCCTGCAGGTAGCTACAAAACCCTTCTTCCTGCTGGAAGATTTTATTGCCTGGCCACTAGTTGAAAATTTAAGTATTTTGACTTTCTGGTGGTGATGTGAGTGTAGGTTTTATTCATTAATTAATTTAATAAGAGTTTTATTTATTTACACCTATTTAATTAGGTAAGATTTAGTAGCTGGATTTGATTACTCAGTATTTGCACACTTCAGTCCATACATTGTTCCTGTGAACTGAGCATCTGTTGTCCTACTTAGACATGAAGAAGTGGAAGAAAAGTGGTGTGTTCTAAGGAAAGGCTGTGTTTAAAGTGAAGATTGGAGCCCAGACATTTCTGGTCCGTGATGTGACTTTTCACATGGCTATTTTAGCTTTCAGTCCTTGCTGTTGAGGCCCAGAGCTGTTCTTTTTACCTGGTTGTAGCAATAGCACTTTTTGAATACTTTGAGGTGCTCTGAGATCAAGAGAATAGTCACCTATTAACAAGGAGCTATTAGAAGACTTTTAATCTTCAGAAGCTGTTTCCTTTAATAGAAATGCTACCACTAGTCAGAAAACCTGCAGCTGCAAACTGTGCAATCAGCAGATCTGTTTGTCTTTTTTATAATAAAAAACATTGCAAGAATTCTATTTGGAACCCCTTTGGTTGAGTGCTACCTCATCTCCTCTACAAAATTGTGGATAATATTTACCACTTGTGCACCTGACTGAGCTGCTGTATTCAGTTGTACTCTGTGGGTTGTGTGTGAGAGGCATGTAGGGTGGGTGCCTGGGGTGTCTGGGAGAGTAAAACTTCATTTCTTTTTAGGGGAGAGAAGGGAAAGGGGCAACAAGGATTTAATAACATGTGAGAAACGTTCTCTCCAGAGCTCAAGAATTTGTTTAGTATTTTCAAGAGAGACATCTTAAAATACTGTGCAGCTTTTTGACTCGTGTAATAGCCATTTAGTAATTAAAACATGAAACTGTTCAGAAGCTTTTGTGCATCAAGACTTTCCTCGCACTTTGCCAACTGCACATATTTTGCAGTTTGGCTCTGGAGAGCATTACCAAGGATAGAAGTATAAATCACACAATCCTGCTCAGATATTACCTGAGCAATGTAGTTTAGGAACCAGTTTCCACTCGACCTTTTAAATAAACAGATTGGATCCTCCTGAAAAGCCAGTGCTTGGATGTGAGAGAGCAAAAGAGAGCAAAGCTTTTACATTGATTGCTGGTCACTGCATGCAGTTTTAGCTTAAAAAGCCCCAGTCAATCATACAAAAAAAAAAGACCACCCCACATCACCCTGCCTGCACCAGGCATTAATGTGCTTCAGTAGCAACTCATGTGCCTAAATGTGGGCTTAAAAGCCCTGGGGTATTGGACATCTGAGCAGGACTGGCAGCTACCACACTGCAATTAAGAGTGATCTTTGTGTCCTTGAAATACCACTTAGGCCCCAGTCCTTATCCCCTAAAGTGCCTGAAGGGGTGCTGGATGTTCCTGTTCCTATTTTATTTACTGCCTTAACTTTCACATGTTAAGTTTCATGATTGTGCTGAAACCAGCAAAGTTTCTCTGGTTGCTGCTCTGCCTGGCAGCCCTTTACTGCTTATCCTCTGCTGGAATGCAGGCCAGGAGCAAATATTTACTGTGTGGCACATGCTGAGTTTTAGAATGTGTGGCAAGTGTTTGTTGTTTTAAATGATAGAGCAGTCACAAAAGAGTTCTGCCCATTATACAGTTTTCCACCTTTTTTTTTCCCCTCATTTTTTATGAGGTAGTTGCAAATTCTGTCTGTAATGCTCTTGGAGCAGTTGTCAGTACTGGCATTTTCTGTGGCATAGCTCAATAGTTTTCTCATTTCTTGTTTTTTAACTTGCTGCAAACCATTGGGGTTCTCAGAACTATTTCACTGAAGCCTGAATGAGATGACATAGAAAGGGCATGTTCTGGAGAAGAACACATCCCTTGGGAAACTTTACCTGTCCATTGGGACAGACTGCAGAGGGGAAGCCATTCCAGATAGGTGGAAAAGCATTGCTTAGGATTAAAGCTGTGCTAAAATACAATAGGCATGAAAGTAAAAATACTCTTTTTTAAAATTGCTTACCTCAAAATGGTTCTCCACTTTCTCCTTCAGAGAAATCCAATCTTACCCTGTGCATGCTGTGATGATCCTTTCTGCATCAAACATGTGACAGTGAGGCTGAGATGCAAACCTGCCTCAGCAGCTCTGCAAAGCCTTGGGTCACACATGACAGCAGCTTTCCAGAGGAGGTGTTAGGGCTGATAGGGAGTTCTCCTGAGCAGCAGCTGGTGATGTCTCTTTTACAGTAACATTTAGTGACTCTTGTATTTGCTTTCTATTTTTTCAGATATTGAAGATTTACCACCCACAGTCCAAGAAAAATTATTTGATGAAGTACTTGACAGAGATGTTCAGAAAGGTAAATGCACTGAGAACAGCTGGGGTCACTCCTGGCTTTTCATTAGAGAATGTGTCTCTTACTAAAAATAAGCTACATATGTCTGTATATACGTGGCTCTGTCAATGAACGTGTTTTAAATAGAGATTGGAAGCTTTCAGCTTGATGTTCACCCTGGAATTCATAAAGTCACAGCTGGAAGGGACCTTTAAGCCCTTCTAGACCAGGTTGCTCCAAACCAGCAAATTTCAGAATGGGGCAGCCACAGCTTCTCGGGGCAGCCTGTGCCAGGGCTCACCACTCTCACAGGGAGCAATTTCTTCCCAACATCCATGTAACCCTGCTCTGTGGTAGTGGGATGCCATCCCCCTTGTCCTGTCACTGCATGCCCATGTGAAATTATTTTAATTTTAACATTTCCAGTCTATTTATGAGGCAGAGGGAAAATGGAGTCTGTAGAAATCATGTTTATAGAGCTTTTAAAAAATCTTTAAAAGTCAGTTTTGAGTCACAAGCTTTTTAAGGAAAACTGAAAAAAGTCTTTTCATTTCAGTAACAATTCTCAAACAAGTGATGTGGGAGCTATGGTTTGGTTTTGGTTTATTTTTTTGACAGTAGAAGAAATTTCCTCAGCCAGTGTAGTTGACCTGTTCATGTTGATGCCTTGTGCAGGCTGCCCCCAGAATGTGAAAAATGGAAAAGCTAAACCTGAGGCATCAATTGTAGTACGAAGGAAAGCAGAGTTTTATTTGTGCAAAGGGGTAGATCATTGAGACTATGCCATTATTGTGCTGTCTGAATTCCCTGAGATAAATAAGAGCTTGTTCAAGAGCTGGCTGTGCCATTGCAGAGCTGGAAGAGGAGTCTCCCATCATTAACTGGTCCCTGGAGCTGGGGACACGCCTGGACAGCAGGCTGTATGCACTTTGGAACCGCACTGCCGGGGACTGCCTGCTCGACTCCGTGCTCCAGGCCACCTGGGGCATCTACGACAAGGACTCCGTGCTGCGCAAGGCTCTGCACGACAGTTTACACGACTGCTCCCACTGGTGAGTCAGGGCAGCTTCTGCTTCTGCTGGAGCAGCAAAACCCCACAGCCAGCCCTCCCCAGTTCCCTGTTGTCTTGGTTTGAAAAGCCACGTGTCTGCTGAGGAAGGGAGGAGCCTCCCCTGAAATGGAAAATGCGAAATGGAAAATGCAAACCCCCTCCCTCTGAATTGTTGTAATATTGAAATGAACTCTCAGCCATGCAGGGACACTCACTGGCCATGAGCAGAAGACATCTTCTGTGGAAGAGATAAAGTGCCCCACTTGGTTTTGACAGGTGGCCCAATGAAGAGAAGATAAGTGCCCCACCTCCAACAGATGGCAATAGAATACCCACCCCCAGCCACATCTTGCATTGCAGCCCAAGACACCTGTGGATTGTGCTCCTCAAAGCTGTCCACTCCCTGTGGTCCCAGCTGGGATCTTCATCTTATGTTTTAAATAGGAGCACTGGAAACTTGGACGCTGTGAACTCAGGGACGGTGTGTGATGCTCAGCAAATGGCATTTCAAACACTAAAATGCTTTATACTTGTCAGGCATGCACTAACCACAGTTACTGCAGCTGGAATTTGTGTCCTTGCAATGTAAATCATGCACATGCCATGCCTTGCTGCTTGGTGGGAGCTGTGCAGATGATTGTTAGTAGAAGATAGCCTTTTATTCTTTATAAACTTTTTGGTATTTTCATTCCATCTGCCTAGTTACAGCTTTACTCAGGATTGCTCTTTTTATCCCTGTTCTCTCTGCTAAAATAATGGCAGTAAAGCAGAGAGTGTTGACATTTAACTGGTTCTGTCATTTGGCCATAAAATTGATTTATCATTCTGTAAAACAACTTCTCTTGCTTTCCACTGACCTACTTTAGTTGGATACTGTGGTTTCCTTCTGCTAGAGGGACAATCTTAGTTGTTCCCTCAGTGGTGTCCAGCAGCTCTCCAGAGTGTCCTGGACTAAGGGATGAGCTGTTAAAGACTGATAATCCTAGGCACAGATTATCATTTCTTTGATGTTCTTGTAGTCAAGGACAGCAGAAACACTGTCAGCACATACTGCAGAAAGAGCCTGTCCCTGTCCTCTTGCAAAGATTAATTTAGGGATACCTGTAAGTAAATTTTGTGTTGTTGGGGGAGAACTCCCCAAATTAGCATCCAGAGCTGGATTCCAGAAAGTTGTGCTTCAGAAGCAGTTCTCCCAAGAACCAGTGTCTGAGAAGATCTGTCAATGCTTTGGAGTTGTTCAGCATGGAGTGTGCATCTCAACCATGCAGGAATGTCCCTGGCACCACAGGCAGCTCCCATGAGGCCAGAACAGAAATTTAGGATAGATCAGGTTTTGTTCTTTATGGTAACAAAACTAAACAAGGTATCCAAAAACATGCTGCAGAGTACTGAGCTTTGGACCAAATCTCCCAAAATGTTGGTGTTAATTGTGGTTGACTTACTGCTGTATCTTAACATAACTCCCCCTTACAGGCTATTCAATCTTGTTAAGGTTTTTAGTTTTATGTTTATGTCTAGACAGAATTTTCATTTTACTCTGAATTTGTGTAATCTTTATCAGAAGCATAATTTTTAACTGATTGATGTGTTCCTTCAAGGGATTAGAAGGACAAGTCTTGAAAGGAGCAAGTCATGTTCTTGTTAGGAACAAGTCTTTAGAATAAGTCTTTTAGCCAGATTTTGTTGTAATTTGATCATTCTGTACATCCTATAGGTGCTGTATAGATTCCATTTGAGAAGATACATTTAATTTTGTGGGCTAGGACATGTGGCTGATGGGAAGTGATGTCATCACTGGAACAGACTCTTAAATGCAATCCCTGCTTAAACTTTTTATCTAGTGGAATTATTCTTCAAAGCCTCCACAAAGACACTTAAAAATGGGTATTTTTATAGTCAGACAGAAAACACTCATGTAACTCATTTGACCTTGTTTTGTTATGTTTGTTCAGACGCTGAACAAAGAAAAATCTATTTACCAGAGACAGTCTTGTGTCTGGTACTCAGAAAAAGCTCCATAGTGAAGTTCCCAGAGGCTCTGGCCTGTGGAGTCTTTTCCACTCACCTTTCAATAACTCCACTTTTTTAGTTTACACAAAAGTGTGTTTTGAAGTGCCCCTTCTTGTTTTCCACCATTAGCTTTTGCTAGAGAATAGGCACATGCCCTAAGTTGACTTTCAGAATTTTATTCTTTAATGGATGCATTGAGTTCTCTTGTGTTAACCTGAAAAGTTTGCTTTAAATGAGAGAATCTTTTATGTGGCTAACTCAGGGAAAAAACTTCTTCAGAACACTTTTCACAATCCAGCTTTTAGGGAGTAGTTTGGTGTTTTCCTTTTTTTCTTTTTTCCCTTGAATTTTCTGGGCTTTCTCTCTCATTCTGATGGTGTGGGAGTTTTTGTTGTTCTTTGCTTTGTTTTTTCTTCTCTTTCCCCCAGAACCTGATTAAATTTCTTTCAAGAGACCTGGGAATGAATTTAACACAAAGTACTGTTAGAAATTTATGAGAGAAAGCAGGCAAAATATTTATCAGGTTCAAAGGTGGAAGTGTTGGTGTGTTTGGATAAAAAGTGGAATATAGATACAGAAGATCCCCTGTAGATATTACTTTCAATTAGCCCAGACCTATCCAAATATCTTAATAATTGGAATTTTAAGCCATGCAAAGGTTTTAGCTGGACTCAGGAAATCCAGCCTGGCTGGTGGCTGCTGTCCTACACATCAAGATTTTAGGGTGATTCCACCTTTACTGAAAGCATAGGAAAGATCTTATCCACACACACTCAACTGCCTGCTGATATTCTCAGGTTTTAATTAAATGAGTTCATTTCAATGACATTTTTAATAAGCTGAAACTTCAGAATGGTTTCTTTGTCTTCACAGTAAAGGCCATTGTTCAAAAATTGGCTTAGCACTGTTCCCTAAATCCTGGTTCCTAATATGAAGTTGTGGCTTTTCCATAGTTTGGTGATTGGACAGAGTTAAAAATTTTACAAAGCAAACACCTTCCTTTTAATGTGTGATTTTTCTTGGTAAATGGTTAAATAAAATATCATGACGAAACTAAATCCCACTTTGCATATTTGATTCTTATCCACATTGCTTTACAACTCCATATAATGTGGAATTACCACCCCTTTGCTCCAAAATCTGGTATAAAACAGATTCTGCCTCCTAACCACGGGCTGTTGGAAATTGATATGCAAGCACTTTGAAGTTAATTGACTCATGATGTGGTTAAAAATAGAAAATACCTATTTTTTTGTGTGAGAAGAATGAGCAACTCCTCCTGTATGAAATGGAATGTCTTACTTATGCTCCCTGTATATCAACACTTAAATAAGCCTAAATAAGACTTAAAAAAAACCCCAAACCCTATTGCAAGAAGTGTCAAACTAGGCAGGAGCCTGGTAGGAACTTGGATCGTGTTTGCTGTAGGCATTGCTTTTTTTTTTAAAGTGGTTCTTAAATGAAGATTGATAAATGGAGTCTCCTGAAGATAAAAAACAAAACAAAATCCAGTTTTCCTGCTATTTGCTCTCTTTCTTCCCCTTTCTTTGGATGAAGCATTACAAGGGTTAAATACTGCTGTCAGGATTATGGTGGTTGAGTAAATATTTTTGCCTTTACCACTTTTTTTTCTCTTTCTCTGTTAACATTTTAGGTTCTACACACGCTGGAAAGAGTGGGAATCGTGGTATTCCCAAAGCTTCGGTTTACATTTCTCCTTGCGAGAGGAACAGTGGCAGGAAGATTGGGCATTCATTCTCTCTCTTGCAAGCCAGGTAAGAAAGCTCCTTTGTCAGAGGGCTTTTGGAAAAGATATTTAATATCTGGAAAGAAGTTTCAGAACTAGAAGAGTTTTTTGGGAATAAGAATATTTCTCTATGAAGGAAGAACATTCCTGTTAAGCCAATGATCTTAAAATCTTACTGGGTAAGCTCTTCTGCTGATATGGTAAGGTTCATTTGAAATTTTAATTTTTGAGCTTCCTGTTAGCAGTGCAACATAAAAAAAGAATTGTGGTATTAGAGTGAAGTCTGTAGAACAAACTCACAGACAATCATATGTTTAATATCCAGCTCCTGCAGCACTTTAACCTCCCAAACACACCTCCAAATCTGTCAGCTTACACTGCTCAAACTCCTGCAAGCTGAGATTTTATAACTCCCCTCCAAAATGAGATTTACATTGCTATAAGCTTCCAGCTATGGGAGTATTTTTAGCTTCTCTTTTAAAGTATAAACATGATTTTGGTGCTATTTTTTTGAGATTTGTTTTGTATGTGCCCTTTTCCTATCATCAAAAGGTATTTGCCTTAAAGTGCCCTCAGATGAAGGAATTATTTTTAGACCTAACATTATGTAGAGTTTCACTTCTAAGTGGGGAATGAAATCCATTACATTGAATCTGGGCAATAGGACAGAATTATTACTGACAGCTGACGAGCTGAAATGTTTTTCCTTATTTCCAGTAATTTCCCATTCTTTTGTTTTTCCTGTCAAAGCTGTATCACTCTTAAAAGCATTTTCTCTCTCAATTTGAAGACTGTTTTTCAAATTTCAAAGTAGAGGATGGTAAGATCTGTTTCAAGTGATGTCTTTCTTTGTGTTTGCTTCAGCCTGGAGCGAGTTTGGAGCAGACACACATTTTTGTACTTGCACATATTCTTAGAAGACCAATTATAGTTTATGGAGTAAAATATTACAAGAGTTTTCGGGGAGAAACATTAGGATATACCCGCTTCCAAGGTAAGCCTTTCGTTTTTTAAATTCACTTTTCAACAGGGTTGGGCTGTAAATCACTAGTGACATGAAGTGACTGTCTGGAAAAGGATGGAATACTATTGTAGATAAATTTTCATTTGCTATTAAAAAGAACAAAATAATCCTCTCCAAACCTGAAGTTTTTCATTTTATAGTGGGCATGGTGCCTATAAAAGTGAATTCCATGATGCTTTAAATGGGAATTTTTAAAATTTGTCTGTGTTTCAGTGATTCGCACTTTACAGCAAGTGTGAATACTGACTTATTTCTCATCAGTACTATAATTCTGCATAGCTTGATCGGGTTCTTTCTGACTTTCTTTCCTCCCTGGCTTCAGGACAGCCTGACTGTCCTCAAGATAAATGTGAAGATGACTCAGTCCAGTTTTGCTTAGACTGTGGATTTCTAAAGATGCATTTTCTGCTTTGCAAGCCAAATCTGTGTTTGGGCAACCTCCCCCTCTGTGACATGCTAATACTTTATTATTCAAATCATAAAACATGAGAGGGGATTGGGAGCATGTGCACAAACTGAGCTGTAAACAGAACCACGGGGAAGGAACTGTGTGTGTTCCAGGGGGTTGGGACATTTGTTTTGCCCACAGTTCATATTCCTGGCCTCAAGCACATCTGCTTGATGGTAACCCACTCTTTATTTATAGCTTAGCTGAGGACTTCCCAAAACATCTTTGTGATTTGAAAGAAAAAAATGTGGTGACTTTGGAAGGAGGCAAGCCCATGATCTATAGAAAACCCTAAGCTGTGCAGTTAATGTTGATTTATAACTATTTAGAGTCTTGGCTTCTAAGTTTGTGGCTGTAACAAAACTTCATGTAGGGAAATTAATTACTTTTTTAAAGAGTCTAAAAAATTAATAGTCATTGTAGTTAGATGTTAACTTTTGTTTTGATGATGAAAGGCAGCTGGGAAGGGACAGTTACTTGTGTCACTTAAATCTGACACTCCAGCTTTGTGTTGCTTTTAACTCCATGGCTTAGTGGTTTGCAAATGGTTTTATTTCCTAGGTTGGGCATCGAGGCAGACAAGTGTTACATGGCCTAAATGTGCTGAAATTTTCTTGCTCTGTGAACCAGAAGGAAACTGGGTGCTTGTTACACCCTTTTACTGCACACAGGTTTCCAGGAATTTAGGCAGCCAAATAGTTACATCTTGAGATTTGCTTGCCACAAGCCAAATCCATCCATCCATGGACACAGCCCTGGGAACAGGTGAACTTGGAGTCCTGTGTCACAGTAGCTGGAATTGCTTCTCTCCCTGGCCAGCCTCATTTCTGTGGTTAACGTGTGCTCATCAAATGCCATTGGCACAGCTGAAACCCAGCTGATGGACTGGGAGTGGGGAGGGCTGCCAGGAGGGCCTGTGTGTGGGCATTGGAGCTTTGGGGAGTGCTGGGGTGTCCCTGCCTCTCTTTAACATCACATCCACCAGAAAAGTCCCTGGAGTGTCCAGGGCCAGGCTGGAACCTGGGAAGGTGGAAGATTGGGCAGGGGGTGGAACTGGATGGGCTTTAAGGTCCCTTCCAACCCAAACCACTCTATAGTAGAAATAGGGAAATTAATTTTTTTAATGCTTGTTCAACATCATGGTTCAGTTTGTAGCACCCTCTTAGCCACCCCTAAAATACTCTCCCTGACAGGAATTTTTTTCCCAGGGATCCCTTGTTCCAGCTTGGCATCCTTGCTGTAGCTGCTGTGAATCCCATAATTGCAAGCCTCCTTGTTCCCCAGATTCCAGCTTGACTGTTAATTCTTTAAGTACTAAAGCTTCAGTGGTGGAAGATCTGCTTGCTCAAGCCCTAACTAGGACCCTGGCTGACCCTCCTGGTCTGGCCATGTGTATTTAGTGGCACAAATATATAGCTTTTAAAATTGAACAGGAAAAAAGATGACTGACTGAAGTGATCATCAGGTCAGGCTGGAGAAACTAAATCCTGTGTGGGTGGTGGCTTCAGGATAGGTGTTAGCCCATACTCTTTATTTTCTGTGGCTTGTGGTCATGTCAACTGTTGTTACACGACCTTCTGGCTTTATATCAGAGTGACTTTTATAACTCTTAAGAGCACTAGATATTCTCCCTGGCAATGCTTGAAATTCTTTTCTCGTGGAGCTCATCACAGTGTTGAGGAGGAATGGGAAGTGCAGCACAGCCTTCTCTCTTGGGGAAATGATGAGTGTGGAATTTTCACCAGGATAAAACAATGGTGAAAGAAGATTTCCAAATACTTGCTGAATTTCAGTGTAGAGATGGAGGCAAACAGATGAGTTTCAGTACTGAAAGGTCACATAGCTGTGCTCCCAGGAATTGAGAGACTGTCTTCCTTACTTTTGACTGGATGTCATCTTTAGTGTAAATTCGAACTTTGACTGGATGTTTGGTTCTTTCCCTTAATGCAAAGGTTTGAAACTTTCTGGTGAATGACTATCCTGTGTTCTTCACCTTTTGTGTTTAACATTGCTTTAGAGTGAGACTTAATAATGGGTACAGGAGGAAGGGAGGGCTAAGAAGGTATTGAAAGGATCTGTCTTTAAATCGAGGTGTTGTAAAAACTTGTGCGACTCTTAATTTTAAACAAATGGAAAGACTTCTAGGTAGCTCTTGATTGCTAATTCAGAAACAAGGGCACAATTATTTACTGGTAGCCCCCACTAATTTTTACTGCAGTACAAAAAGATGAGCTCAACATTTAAGCAGAACCTCCAAAGCCACCCCTGCCTCAGATTCCCATTTTAGCGTTGCCCTTCCCTCTCCATGGCTGTCGAGGAGCTGTGTTTGCAGCAGCAGCTGTACTAGGAGGGGTTGCTATGCTACATGTGCACTTGAGTTTATGTGGGGCTATTTTTAACCTGTCACAAGGTGAGCTGTGCTTTTGCTTAAGTTGTCTTGCAGCAGTACACACCAAGAATTATTTATGTTCCTGGAAGAAAGGAGTTCCAGTTTTATTTTGAGACCTCGAGCAAATTGCTGTCTTTATTGCTAAAAATGGTGATGAGAAAAAGTGCAGTTCTTCTCAGAATCTGTGACATCAGGTGTTAGTTGTAGCTAAGCAAAGTAGTATCAGCTTTTTGGTGCTTTTTTCTTTTTCTTTTTTTTTTTTTTAATTGGTATGAATAATTGATGTGTGTTAATTTAATCTGTGAGTACTGTATATGAGCAGTCCCGTTCTCTGGGATGGGTTACATCAGTGCTGAGTAACATTTTGTGCAGTGAGTTCTTTTAATGGTAAGTTTTGTGAGCAGATGGTGGAATTTTTGCTCTGGTAAAAATAGACATCTGACTGTAACCTTTATTTCTGTCATGCAGAATCTTTTTTTTTCTTCACTTTTAAGAAGAATTATCAGACATTAAAGGGTTTTCTAACCTTGTTTTTTGTTCATCACTGCACTATAGACCATATATTTTAGGGCTGCGGTAATGTATTGGTTGTGAATGTAATATTTTGTGTTTAAACTTGTATTGCAAAGATACTTGACTTGTGTTAATTAACAACAATTAGCTCTACTGAAAAGTGTGGCCTGTGCCAGTGCAGACCAAACTCTGTATGTTTTAAATGTGACGTGCTTCTCTTTGGCCCAAACCACGAAGTTTGTATCAAAATCCTTCCTTGTTGAGCAGCAGTTCTGAGCCTTTCCCTGTGCTTTCCTTCCCCACAGGTGTGTATTTGCCTTTGTTATGGGAACAGAGTTTTTGTTGGAAAAGTCCCATAGCTCTGGGCTACACGAGGGGCCATTTCTCCGCCCTGGTTGCCATGGAGAACGACGGCTATGGCAATCGAGGCGCTGGTGCTAATTTGAACACTGACGATGATGTTACTGTTACTTTTCTACCCTTGGTGGACAGCGAGAGGAAATTATTGCACATTCACTTCCTTTCTGCTCAAGAGGTAAGAAAGAAACACCTGGTGTGTGCTGGTGACTTTGTCACAGCTGCTCGATGAAGCTCAGCGATCTCTGTAGCCCCCTGAGTTTTTGGTGTCCAAAGAATTACAGGGAGTGTGCTGTTCTGGTTAATTAATGCTGCTCCCTTCCCCATCATTCCAGGTGGTGCTGAAAAGTATTTTCCCACAAATTTGGTGTTTACAGCTCTGTAAATAGAATGTAACTTCATTGTCCATGTAAATCACAGAGTCATAGAATCACAGAATGTCCTGAGCTGGAAGGGACCCACAAGGATCATTCAGTCCAACTCCTGGCCCTGCACAGGACACCCCAACAATCCCACCCTGTGCCTGAGAACACTGAGTATCAGAATACCTAGAAAAGGACACAAAAATAAGGGTTCTGTCACTAAGGCAAGACTGCAATCTGCCTTTTGGGGTTTTTTTCCCTAAAAGGTGAAACACAAGTATTGGCCTACAGTTGCAGCATTTTCCACCTTCTATTCTAATGAAACTCAACTCATTTTTGCTTTAATAACTATGATAAAAATGGAACTACTTCACTGAAGGGTGTGCATGGGTGAAGGGAGGACTGGAAAACTGAAGTAATTGCAGAAAGTGGCCATTCTGTAAATAAAAGGAGAAAAATATGAGCTTCAAGTCTAGAAAGGGATGTTTCTTCAGCAAGCCATGATATTTGTTATATTTTGCAAGAGAAAATATTTCATGTTGAAAACTTATAAAAATATGTTTCTACAGCCAGAAAGCTTTGTTAGGACTTCCCTCCTTATATATGGTGCTTAGATAAATAGATGCTTAAAAATAGATAAATAGTTGCTTAAATAGATAAATAGTTGCTTAAAACAACTGAAGGCTGTACTGGAAATAGACATGTGAAAAACTGGGGAGAAGAGCTGGAGAGTACTTGCAGAGCCTTTGGTTGAAAATGCAGTGGGCATCAGTTTTCCTTTTCTGGGGTGATGCCTTGGAGTGGCTACCTAGAACAGAGGCAGGGTGAGGAGAGTCCTGGGCAGGGTGAGGAGAATCCTAGACAAGATTGAGAGAATCCTGGGCAGGATGAGGAGAATCCTGGACAAGACTGAGAATCCAGTGCGATGCACGTGGAGCAGGGGTATGGCGCTGGACGTTTGGGAAGCCTCATTCCTGGTGTTTTCTGTGCCCCAAAGATAGGCAACGAGGAGCAGCAGGAGAAGCTGCTGCGGGAGTGGCTGGACTGCTGCGTGACGGAGGGAGGGGTCCTGGTGGCCATGCAGAAGAGCTCCCGCCGGCGCAACCACCCGCTGGTCACCCAGATGGTGGAGAAGTGGCTCGACCGCTACCGCCAGATCCGGCCCTGCACGTCCCTGTCCGACGGCGAGGAGGATGAGGATGACGACGATGAGTGAGGGGGAATAAAGTGCAAATGAGCAGCGCAGAGTGTGTGCCCCCGAGTGAGCGTTGTGCTGTAGCAGTTGGGTGTGGAGCGACCCAGGTCTTAGGGGATACATGCTGGGAAGGATTCTCCGACAGCACGGGGAGAGGATGGATGCTCATCCTGCTGCCTGGAGAGAGCCAAGTGGGCTGGACTACAGTTTGTATAAAAACACGAAAAAGAAAACAAAAAACAGCTAATTTTATTATCAAGATGGAAAAAAAAAAAAAAAAGCAAACCAAACCAACCCCATTTTTCTTTCTGACTGTAAATCTGTCTATAAATGTACCGCATGTGGTTGTGTAAGAGGTTGTGTAATAGGAAACGTATACCAGCATCTTAATTATTGCAGAGAAATTTTTCAACTAAGGGCACTTCTGAAAGCACATGTGAGCTGGATGGATATCTCCTCCCTCTTGAGATTCTTTTACAGTAGAACCTGGTCTTCTCCATCACCTTTTAGATACTCTGACACATTTCCCTGAAAGGCCTTTTCCTGTGAAATCTCACTAGTGCCCAGGTCAGATTGTGAGAGGTTTTTTTTGTTTGCACAGATATCCACAGCAAGTCATAAGCAAAAATGCGTTCGTTATTTTACTAATATTTTAGTTATTGCTGTGCCCACATAATAAAGCCTAAACTCTACGGAACAAACTGGAAGAGAAGCTAAATTTTACATTGAGTGAAATGATTTGTTTCCTGAAAAAGCTTTTTGGGGGTTTTTTTGCCTTTTATTTTTTCTTCTAGTAGTTAATAGATTCCTTTCAGTATACATATTTATTCAGAGAAGTGACCTAAAAGATAGGGATTTTATTCCTGTGAGCATACACTAAACAAAATTGGGTGAAATCAGAACCTGAACACAATTGAGAATTTAATCTTGTCAAAACTCACAGTCTTGCTGTGTTAAAAATTATATAATTTTTATCATTTATTCTTTGATCACTCAAACTTTGCTGCAAATGAAAAAAACACCTTTTTAAAGGTTACTCCTTGGTCACTAAATCTAGTGAGAATCCACTTGGCAGTTCTAATTAAAAAGAAGAATCTATGCTCAAGTTGTTTAAAAGCACTGTTATATATTTCTCAGTATGTAAACCTGGGAATTTCTTGCATGTTGATTGATGTGGCCATACTTAAACTTATGTAAGTTCCTAAGACTGTAAGTTCAGAGTATATTCTCCAGTAGAAATTTTATTATATTTGATAACTTTAGCCATGTAACCTGTAATGGATAAAGTTTATCTAAAAATCTCACTGAAACACTAAAGGTTAATGCCAGTTTTTACATATACAGTGCAATTCAGGCTGTCTTGAAAAGCACTTTTGATGGTGTGGTGGTTGAGTAAGAAATTTTGCAGTAGATGAAATTGTTTTAATTAGAATTTGGAAAGAAGCCCCATAGCACCTATTTTTATGTAGTTCAGAGCTATGGAAACCCTGAGGAAGTTGCTGCTTTTTCTTCCAAATGCTGCTTAGATGGTGTTGAAACGTGCACAACTCCTACAGAAACTTGGTGACGACACCGAAAGTAAAGAAATAATGAAGTACTGAATTAATTTTGCAATTTTCCCGTCCTAGATTCCACTGAGGTTTATTATGTCTTCACCTTTTTTGGCCATTAGATTTCCTCTGCTTGGTGCATGCCCGGATTTCCAGGTGAAGGATGAATGCTGCTCTGCCATGTGTGAGTGACCCAAATTCACCACCCAACCCCAGATACTACAGGGGTTCTTCATGAGCACACGGTCCTGGTTCAAGTTCCCTTTCTAAATTGGGTTTTTTTTATCCTTACCTTGCAGTGAAATCCTTTTATAACTTGTCTAGCTGAGGATGTAAGGCTTTTCTGTCAGGGGAGCTGAATGCAGGGTAAGCTGGGATGAGGATTTCTGTGCCCTGAGCTGGCGTGCACCGTGTGCTGGAGTGGTTATGTGTCGTGCTGTGACCACGGGGGTCCTAACTCAGCCAGCCTGAGGAGCTCTCAGTGGCCAGACCTGTAACTTCAGATCCCAGCCTGCCCCTGACCAGCTGCCCCGTGGACAGAAGGAAAAACCCCATATTCCATGGGCTGCTCCGAGGATGCTGTGGAGTTTTCACCTCCCACCCGTGTTCTTTTGGCAGTGCTGTTTGTTGAGGGAAGCGCAGCTTCCTTGTCCCAAGGGGAGAATTACCAATGTGAAAGTCTACCTTGAGCCACACTGGCCCAGCTCTCCTGCCCTGCTCTCCTGCACTGTGCCCCTGTCCCCAGCCCTCCCCCGAGGTCAGTTCAGCTTTCTCAAACGCATGCACCGATGAACTCTCACTGCTCTGACAGGACAGTCCTGGTACTTTGGATCACCTGGCTTCCTTGATCATTATTGTTTTGTTCTGATGTGCTGTACAATGGTCTGTTCAGGTTCACGTGCTTCACAGGCCCTTTGGGAGCTGGTGAAGTGTCTTTTCCAGAATCAGAGTAATCCAAACCTCCTGTAGTTGTAGATTAAAGAGCTGCAACCCCCGGCTTCGTGCTTGCACTGCAGTCAGTGTATGTCAGTGGCTCCTCAATCACACACCTGAAAGTTTACAGACACTGAGATGAATCTGCACACACTCCCCTGCAGCTTGTCAGCAAGTTCTGCACTTTCAGCCATGAAAATATATATAAAAAATTGGGTTTCTCAGTGTTATTTTCCTCATACATTGCTCACAGCAGCACATGCTTTCCTAGCACAGAACTTAGCTTTTCATTGCTACCTCCTTTACAGCTGGTCAGGATTTTTTTCTGGTTTTATTTATGACTTCCTCAGTGAAAATCCCTGTATTTCTTTTGTTTTTAATATATTAAAATTTAGTAATTCTGGATTCTTCCAAAGTTCTGCTGCATGGCTTATGGCAAATCCCCTGAGCTGCATTTCGTCCATTACCCCAGGTTGGTTTGTGTGTGTGGAGACTTTAATTTCTGCTTTCCTTTTCCCCCTTTTATTCAGTAACTTCCCTAATACCTTTTTAAAAGGTTTTATTTAGTGTTTGTCACCATGAAGCTGCTTGTTTTGACAGCTACTTTGACATCTCTGGAGTTCTCCCTGGAGAGAAAGATGGTTATCCCAGGAGAGCCTTTCTGTCTGCTTTCCCTGAGTGGGACAACAGCAGCATGGCTCTGTCAGCCACAAACCTTCAGCAGCAACTGTTCATTTCCCATTTCTTTGCCCAGTAATTTTCCATTTGAGAGCTGCAGCTCCTGGTGCTCTGGCATCTCCCAGCTGTGATGATGTTCTTCCCCTTCCACTGCTCCAATCTGTGCATGTTTTGCTGGTGTTCTCCCCGCAGGCACTTGTAACCTTTAGGATGGCTTAACCTCTGCTCCTGTTGAGCTTGTGGCACTTCTGACCTTGGTTTTGGCTGAAAGGGAAGTTGTGTGTTGGATGAAAGCTCCAGCATGTTCTGAGCTCGGAGTCACTGCTGGCACACGGATCCTGCGGCGCAGGGAGGGACCGGATTATTGAGAAACAAAGTACCAGGGCTCGTTTATTTTTAAAACAACTCTAAACCTTAACATCAATTAAATGTTTTCCTCTTGGTTTTGATGGTCATTTCGGTGTCTCCCAGATACCACCCCTGTATCTGACCTGTTTTATCCCAGTTTCTCACTGAGGTCACGGATAATTCACTGCTGGGCTGTGCTGAGCACTGACAAGGAGCAGTCACTCTGTAACAGGTGACCTCTGGTTTGGATGTTTGAAGCTGGTAACCAAGTTTTCAGTTTAATTTTAAGCAAACAAAATACAGAGTTTTGTAACTTGGACACTTTGGTTTCAGCTTTTTTTAGTCCCCATCTAATTCCACGTGTGTGGCACTTGGACACAGTGGGAAAGAATGGTGGAAACAAGAACAGACAGGCCTTTTGCCCAGTGAGGCTCAAAGCCAGCAGCCCCTCTTGAGCACTTTTTTGGCTTTATTTTCCAATGGTTTGATAATGCTTCATCTCTTGAGAATGTACAGAAAATGTTTGTTTGAGTTGTAGCTGCCTTTGTACTTAGTGGAAACCCACAGTGATCTCTTCATCGCAGAATGGTCTGAGTTGGAAGGGACCTTCCCCTCCCACTGGACTGTAAATATGCACCAAGTGTGACCAGAATTATGTTTCTGTACCTTATGGTTACCTCTCAGTGTCTCCAAGCCCCAGATTGCAGCGAGAGCTCTTGCCTTTCAGAAATTATAGAAATTTTATCACTTTTTATTGAAAACTGCACTGAACGCTAAATGTCCACCTTTACAATAAACAAATACAGTAACGGTAACACACTAAACCAAAACATACTGATAGCCATTGGTTTCTTTTTTGTCTGTTTGGGACAGCTCAAGATTTCTTTTTTTGTTTTTTTTTTTTTTCTTTTTTTGTCACAGAAACAGGAATGTACCCATACAAAGGCTCAAAACAGGCCATCTTTAAAAACAAAAGGCGGTGATTCACAAAAGACTATGAATATAACATGTAACTAGTTGATACAAATCTAATAGGATTTGTTAAAATCAGTCACATCTAATAACACATCTTGAAGTGTTCTTGTATAAAATATCACGTGAAGAAAAGAAGACTTTTATCAATGTCTAAAAAAGTGGATTTTGTTCATAGACAGTCTGACAAGTTACCATAAAAAGTGTTTCCTGAGACATAAGGAAATGCAACATTATTCTTGAACCCTTTCCAGCTCAAGACTTTTTCCACTTGATAAAATAGCTGCAGATTTAAAACTGAGAAAATATATCTGAGTACAAATAGTGTGTGAAACTTAATACTTTCTTCATTTTTTTTCTTTTTTTTTTTTTTTCTTTTTTTTTTCTTTTATTTTTTCTTGCATCATTGCAGGGCGTAGGTGGATGCACAGCTACTTTATTCAGTGTGTTGGGCAGAGAAGAGACTGGCAGTTTGGTTTTCCTTAGCCTGGGAGGGCAGTGGTCACTGCCAGGAGCCCTTTCTGCCCTTCCCATCCCACAGATCCCAGCTGGAATGGCTGGAACTTAGACCTGGCAGGAGAACTTCTGTTACACGGCACTGGCCACTGCAAAAAGGAGGAGGAGGAGTTATTTTCTTTTTTTTTTCTTCCACTTCTAAGCCAGAACTGCTGCCCCCTGTTAGGAGAGGTCACCAGATGCAAGAGAAAGGAAAGGGCTGAAGCCACACAATGGTTTCTCGTTAACTCTGTAAAGATGGCTTAATTCAGTGGCCTGGACACAGTGCAGGAGCCCTGTCCTTCCCAAGGAATTGAGGGGGGGAAAGAAATTCATTTTTATTCATGTGATTGATGCACAGATGAAGGAAACTCAACACACAATAACAGAAGTTGCTCATTAATGTATCACATCCTAGTTTTCAGCACTGCAGGGAGCAGGTGACTTCTCCAGGGCCTCTCCCCAGTCTTGGCTGCTGTCGCTTTGTCGGGAACACTGGAACATCAATGATGCCTCTGTCCAAAATCAACATTACAAATTTCGTATCAAATTCTTCTCTTTTAGTTCATGTATAACTTCTTTTCCAATGTCTCTTGGTCCTAAGTTTATTGAATGGTTTTTAAATTATCTGCTATTGCTCGTTGGGGTGTTCCCTGTTGTCCCCGTGTTTTGTGGGCTGGTTGGGCGATGGAGCTTGGGAAGGATGTGCCACTGTGGGAAGGTTGTGGGTAACAGGGATGCCTCCAGGAATGATGCCCTCCATAGCTGCTGGGATTCCTCCTGGTGCCACACTGACCATCCCAGGGGGATACCTGGCAGAGGGGACACAGAGAGGCAGGTTTGTCACAGCACAGCTCATCACACACCCGTCAGCCCAGCGCCGCTGGGGAGAAAACACAGCAGAGAGATCCCACTTCCCTCCTGCAGCCACGTTTGCTTTTCCTTTTTAGTTACAAGGGAGAGCTCAGCATTAAACATCACCTGCTGGGCCTTGGGTAAGTGTCCTCTGCTGCACCACCAGGACTGCAGCTTGTTCTGTGCCTTCTCACAGCCTCCTGCACCATGGGGAAGCCCTTCTCCTTTGGAAATTTGGGTAAGGAACCATCTGGAATAGTCTCTGAAAGCCCAGACGCTGGTGTGCTCACCCCATCATCCCTGTGTGAATACCCTGAACACCTACACCTGGTTTGTAAGTGTTTCCTGGAGCTGCATCTTCCTTGTGGAACAGCACAGCTCAAAGATGGGATCAGATCTAATCTAGCTTTTCCAAGAGCAGGAGGAATTACACACATTCCAAGAAACAACTGAGTTTGAAAAAGGACAATAATAATAATAATAATTTATTCAACTCCCGGGTGGGGGCAAAGAGGACAAAACCATGTGGAGCTCTGTGGCCATGTCAGACCTGAGGGCTCCCACTTCCCTGCAGCTCCACTGCCTTGAGGCAAAGTGGATTGGGAAGCTGGGAGGGGAAGGGAATTTTACCTGCCTGTGAAGGTGGTGAGCTGAGCCAGCTTACAGGGGCTCCAGGGCTGCAGCTCCAGGGAGCTCAACCAGGCTGAAACTCCCTGCAGAGACAGGTTAAGCTGGGAAGCCAAGGCTTGTCCTCAGGTGCTGGCACTGCCCAGGTGTTTGGGAGCCAGAGTGGGAATGGGGAGCCTTTTTCCAGGTTTGGAAGTTCTGGTGGTCAGAGGGAGCCTTCACTGCCTGGAGTCTGCATGGCCCAGGAGCTGTCTTGGGGCTCTGCTGCTGGGAAACTGGCCTGGCTCTGCCTGACATGACCTGATGTGCCCTGCAGGGTATTTTGTAGCTCAGAGTATTTTTGGCAGTGGTGATACCCTGAATCCATGCTCCAACTCCTTGAGCCTAATGTCTCCTACCAGCATACTTGGAGCCATCTAAACAGAGCAGTAAGTAACCCTTAATCTCGGATTAGGTGGAAATTGGGTCACCTGACTACAGCCCTAAATTTGGAACTTTTCCCCTGGCTCATTAACCTAAGGCTGCTCATGGACAGGAGCACAGAGCTGCTGCTGCAGTTTCAGAAGTCACATCCAGCTTTGGGGGGGTCTGGGGGGCTCCTGCCACTTCCAGGGACGCTGCCCAGTGACTCCCAGCCCGCAGGGATGCAGGCTCTGGGCAGGGAGGCTTTACCCACCCTTCGGGGATGGCTCAACCCCATCAGTAACCCCGTGCTCTGAGTGCTGCTCCCCAGGCAGGGGGTGACAGCAGCCGGGTACCGGGTACCCATCCTCGCTGTCCCAGCCCTGCCGTGCCAGCGCCCCCGGTGTCCCGGTGTCCCGGTGTTCCCCCCCTGGCGCTCACCTGTACGTGGCACCATTGAGCTCGGGATGAATCGCCTGCTGGTCTATTACTGACCACGGAGCCGTCGTGACAAAGAATTCCTTATTCACGCAGTTCCTTAGGCTCTCCGGGATGCGCCCTGGAGTTGGAGAGAAAGGTGAGTCTGTGTCTGGCAGGGCCCAGCTTCATCACCCTCTGCAATGCTTATAATTCCACTATGTCTGTCAGTGTAAAGGATGGGAGGAAAAAAAAATCCCACATTCCTTGTTTCAGGAGGATGTTTTAGCTGTCCCGGTGCAGGGCTGGAGACCAGTTTCCCACCCTCATTCCCAACGCTTGGCTTTCAGAGGAGCTGTTCCCTTGAGGGCGACTTTCAGGACAATAGAAGCACTCTTTTGCTGTGCCCACCACCTTGGGATTTGGTTTTGGAATGCAGTGCTGTGTCTGCAGCACTGTGTGGGTCAGCAGCAGGAGTAGCAATTACTGCTTCCCTGTCCTGTTCTTTTTCCCAGTCACAGACACCAGTATTTGCCCATTCATTAGAAAAATGAAACCAACACAAAACCCGTCACCCAGTCAGGACTAAAAAGGGAACTCTGGGTTCCCAGCTCTTTTACTGGGAAGCAAACTGGGGTTAGATCCCTTTCCCCTGGTCAGGGTGAATCCCTGTCTCTGCTCCTCCTGGCTCTTGTTCCAGGCACCCCGGGAGCCAAGCCCAGTGTCCCCAGGGCTGGGTACCTGTGATCGCACGTCGGATTTCGGTGGCTGCAGCTTCTCTCATCTCTAGGGATGCCTGCTCGCTGTACCAGGCTGTGTGTGGGGTGCAGATCAGGTTGGGAGCATCTTTCAATGGGCCTTGAGCAAAACTGGGAGCAGGGGAAAACAAAAAAAGAGATTAATCAATGTTTAAACAAAGAATGAAAGATGAACAGCAAAAAGCTTGTGGCCTGCCCTCTGCATATGCAAGACTCCTTCCAAGGCCAGGCTGGATGGGGCTTGGATGAACCTGCTCTAGTGGAAGATGTCCCTGCCTGTGGCAAAGAATTGGAACTAGATGAGCTTTAGGGTGCCTTCCAGCCTAAATCATTCAGTGATTCCCTGGCCTGATAGTCCTGCCAGCCGAAAATGGCCACAGAAGTGCTGGGGAGGAAGCACAGCTTCTGTGCAGGGCTCAGAAAATGCAGGCTTCTGAAAATGCACCAAAAAAGGGCTGAAATACCAATCCACAGGGTGGCTGGGCTTAATGTTCCCATGGGAATAATGTTTGGGGGGTGTCTGCAGCAGTGTGGGGATGAAGGGAAAGCCTGTGGGTGATCCTAGGATGGGAGGGGTGGGCGCTGGGGGTCCCTTTGTGTAGAAGCAAACTTTTTGTTCTTTAAATATTTCTGTGGTAGAGAGAAGCTGCACTCCCAGTTACAACCCAGCCCTTCCCAGGCTGCAGGCAAAAATGCCCAGCACTGAGTGCAGTGAATTTGTACTCAAGGGCTAGTGAATGTTTTGGGTCTTTTTTCTAAACACAGGCTGGGTTCTTGTTCCAAGCTCCCAGTGTCCCTTTGAGCACACACAGCCCCAGTGCTGGACTACAACCGATGGCTGCTGCAAGGTGACAACAGCAGGACTGGGCAGTGTGCCCAGGGGCAGTGACACTCAGTGGGTGCTGGGTATCCCTGGCTGTGCCACGACAGAGGGTGACACCGATGCCACCCCAGGGCTTTACCGAGCCGCAGCTTTACCTGAACGGTTCCGACTCGTGCACGTCGAGTGCGGCCCCTCGTATCCGTCCCTCCTTCAGGGCTTGGGTTAAGGCCTTCTCGTCCACCAGCCCCCCGCGGGCCGTGTTCACCAGGAACGCCCCCTGCCTCATCTGCCGCCGGCCAGAGAGGGGTGGGGTCAGCTGGGTGCCCCGACCCCCTCCTGGCCTCACCCCCACCCTGGGATGCTGCCCCAGCTGAGACAGCATCCTGCTTTTTGTGCCCCAGTCCCAGAGCACCCCCCATCCCGCTGCACATGGGTTTTCCACGGGTTCTTCATCTCTGGTTGGAGTTGGCAAACAAAACCCACCGTTAACCACCACCTCTGCACCACAGGGATGGGGATCATTTACCTGGCAGGACACTGCTCCCCCTAAGCACCGTGGGGAGACACACCTGGGTGCAAGCAGCTCTTCTGGAGCTGCTGGCTCACTGGGGAAGCTGAGGGATCTGTGGCCAGCTCCTGCACTCAGGCCCTGCCCACCACCAAAGCTCTCCTCGGCCATGCACGTGAGGTGAATTAATTACCTGCTTAATCGTGAAGTCGTTGATAAGGTGGTGGTTGTGTTCGTTGAGGTTGCAGTGCAAGGAGACGCAGTCGCTCTGGTAGAGCAGGTCCTGCAGGGTGTAGACCCGCTGGACGCCCAGGGAGCGCTCGATGCCGTCCTGCAGGTACGGGTCATAGAAGATCACGTTGAAGCCAAAGGCCTTGGCTCGGACCGCGACCGCCTGCGCAGTGCGACCTGTGCCGAAGGGAAGGGACAGGGGGAGTTAACTGAGCCAAATGCCCTGTGTCCATAAGGCTCAGCTCCCAGCAGGACCTGAGGATTGTCCCCTGGGGCCTGCTGGGCTTCCCAGGCGTTCCCGTGCCTTGCCTCAGTTTCCCCATTTAAACATGCTCATAGGAGCTTTGCCATTAATTAGCTGATCCCACCTCTAATACTGAAACCCTACAGCTGTGGCTGAACTTAAGCTCTGTTTTACACAGCCCTGCCACTGTGCAGGCCAGAGTGGCTTGGGAAGGCCGGGTTGGTGTAGCTGTGGCTCAGGGATGTGTATTTTTGGGAGAGGACAGCAGCACTACCTCTAGAATTGTGGTCCCTCTAAAACACCACCGTGTTTCACCAGTGCTCCTCCAAGGCCTCAACCACAGCTCACAAACACCTCCCTCCCCAAAAACCCACGTGAGCTGTTCTCCCCGTTCACGCCCATCCACCGTGGTGGTTCTGGTTTTGGAAACGCTCCTTTTGGGTCCTTCCCAGAGCAGCGCAGAGGCGCTGAGCCCCTCAGGAGCGGCGCGCCCTTGTCGCACGCACCGAAGCCGATGAGGCCGAGCGTCTCCCCGCGGATGCGGGCGGCTCCCGAGGCCACCTCGCGGATCTGCTCCACGCTCTGCACCCGCGTGCCCTCGCGCAGCGCCTGGTACAGCCACGTGTTCCGCCGGTACAGGTTGAGCACGTGGCACACGGTGGAGTCGGCCGTCTCCTCCACGGCGGCCGAGGGGATGTTGCAGACGGCGATCCCTGCGGAGGCCACACACAGATCACAGCCCTGCCAGCTCCTGACCCGGCTATGGAATGGGCTGACTCCCAGCTGCCCTGCCCACAAGCTCCTTATACTGGTATTTACTCTGTGCCCCTTAAACACCCCATTTACACCCTTAAACATCCCGTTCTGGGGGTGCCCTTTAATGGGTCCAAACTGGTGCCCAGCCCAGCCCAGGCACCGCTGTTTAGGCTCCGGTCATTGACTGACTGCACGGTTTAAAAACCACCTTATGGAAAGCAATACCAATTAAACTTTACGCTACATTTGTGGGGAGTCATTACATTTTCTACTCGAAACCACATCATTTGGCCACCCAATTTGCCAAGTAAAAAAAGAAGGATTATGCTGCAGTATCCCATTACTTTATTCATTGTATCTTTCTTTTCCTGATGTTCAAAGCCTCAGAACATTGTTATAATGGATAATAACAATAAGAGTTAAAAACATGAAGAAACCATTACACTGAGGAGACACTGTTCTCTTGAAAAAAGAAAACAATTCACTATACTGAGAATTGCTTCTTTAGGAATGACTATTTGCAACTCTCTTATCGCAATTATCTCTGGAAAACGGCTCAGGTGGAGTGGCTGATATTCTTCACTTCCCCAGAGATAACCTTTAATACAACATATCCCAAACACTACTGCAGGGCTGCTCCGCAGACTGAATCTCGGGATCAGATGAGTAAAGCCTGTTGTAACTCAGCTGCTAAAACCAGGGATACAATTAAGCTCCTGGAGCTGGGGGTGTGCAGCCAAAAGTCTCTGTGACCACCCAAACCAGTTTGGAAACTAGGTGGCCCAGCACTGTCTTACAACATGACCCTCCCTATTTTTGGCAATCCACACTAAAAGCCCTTTTCAAGTTCCTGAGGCACCTTTGATGAGATGGTAAAGGAGGTGGCAACAACCCAACACACAATTCCTGCTCCACCATCCAACACAGCGCCTTCCCAGTGGAGCAGGCATGACTCAGAGAACCAGCTCAGATCAAGAGACTGATCTTTCTTAACAAAATATAATAAAACACCCTTCCTCCAATTTTTCTAAAGCTGTATCAACTCTCCTGTGCCAGAAATAGAACAGCCATACAAATATCCAGCAGTATGAGGGGGCACCTGGAACTCAGAACAGTGCAGGAATGAGGGATTCAGAGAGGGCAAATTTAACATGATATGAACCCAAAAACTGCCTTCTGAAACTGCACGGTTTTGTTCACTTCATGGTCAAGTTTTCTTGGCATAATAATCTCTGTGTGCAAAAAATGTGAACTGCAGCTGTAATTTTAGGGGCTGAATGGAGGTCCTGCCTGGAACTCTGCTGTGCCAGCATGGTCCCATGGAAGCAGCAGATCCTTGTGCTGATTTTAAAGGATTGGAAGGACAGGGCAAGGAATCAGGGTGCAGAGCTGGGACCTACCAAGCTCCCCAGCAGCTTTGATGTCGATGTTGTCGTAGCCGCTGCCTATTCGGACGATGACCCGCAAGGCCTTGAACTTCTCCAGGTCCTCCCGGGTCAGGGTGATGGTGTGGTACATCATGGCCCCCACAGCTTCATTCAACACCTGCAACAAGCACAGCAGTCAGGGCAGGGTGATGGTGTGGTACATCATGGCCCCCACAGCTTCATTCAACACCTGCAACAAACACAGCAGTCAGGGCAGGGTGATGGAGGGGTACATCACGGCCCCCACAGCTTCATTCAACACCCACAACACAACACAGGAGTCAGGAGCCACCAGCACACCTGGGGGGACACCTGCAGCTCAGGAAAAAGGAATATGACCCAGGGAGTTGGACACTTTCACTGCTGACCTGCTGTCTGAGACAGGTGTCACCAAACCCTGCAGGGGTGTGACCCACCAACAGCTTTGGGAATGGATTTGGTGAATGTCTGAAAATGATGATGTTACATCTGAGCAGACCAGGCAAATGAAATCCACGTCTGTCTCTCACCTGGACCCTTTTCCAGGTGGTTCTCTGCAAACCCCTCTGCTTCCAAGCAGCAGTAATTCTGCTTTTGGAAAGAAGTTAAGTGTTGCAGCAGTGTCTGTTGGGTGAACAGGACTGTGTGACATTCCTAACGCCTCCACCTCCTTGTGCATGTGAAACCCTGGCCACCACACTGGTCACACCAACCTTTCCTGGCTCCTCTCAAGGGGACCTGAGAAGCTCTGCAGAGGCTGCACAGTCACACAGGGCTTGTATCCTTCAGTGAGGATCCAGACCTTCGTTTGTCCTCACCACAAGCTACTTCAGTGCTCCAAAAACCCAAGACCCATCCAAAACCCCCAAGCGTGGCTCATCTATTAATGTCTCACAAAAAACTCCCATTTTCCTTCTCCCAAATTCAGTACCTGCAGAAGACAGCACTGATGCTATTTCTATTCCTCTTTCCCAGATCTTGGATGTGATTTTTGATCACTTCAAACCTCATTTGAGGTATCCAAAATAATACTTTTAAGTGAAGTATTTACATGCAGTTGAGCTTCCAAGCAGAAACACCCATCCACACTGCACGGATCTGCCTGAATGATTCCCAAACCTCCTCCACTCCACTCCACTCCCCCTGGAGAAGGAGGAGCTGCTGGAGGTGCACCAAGCACCTGTGAAGACCCACCAGCTGCAGCTGGGTGGTGTCAGCAAAGCCACAGCAGCAGCAGCACCATGGACTTCAAAAAACATGAGAAACGTTAATAACATTGATGTGAAAAACCTGATGCAAAGAGATAAAGTGACTTTTTTTTTTTCCAAAATAACATCTGGCTTCTGAAACAGCCTGAATGAATTTTAATCTGCAGTGGCTTCTGTTGATGTTATCTGCTGATTGACTCAAAGTGCAGCTTTGTACACTTTCTGCTCAAAAATCCAACAATCACACACTGGTTTGGGTTAGAAGACAGCTCATTTTTCCGAACCCCTGCCATGGACAGGGATACCTTCCACTATCCCAGGTGCTCCAAGCCCTGTCCAGCCTGGCCTTGGACACTGCCAGGGATCCAGGGGCAGCCACAGCTGCTCTGGGCACCCTGTGCCAGGGCCTCATCACCCTCACAGGGAACAATTCCTAATTCCCAATATCCCACCCATCCCTGCCCTCTGGCAGTGGCAGCCATTCCCTGTGTCTGTCCCTCCATCCCTTGTCCCCAGTCCCTCTCCAGCTCTCCTGGAGCCCCTTCAGGCCCTGGCAGGTGCTTTACAGACATGGAAGAGCCAGGCCAGACCCCGCTGCCCCCAGCCCTCCCCACCTCCCCGGTACCTTCTCGTGGATCTCCTGAGTTGATTGTGCGTCACAGAAGGCCACCGTGGCCAGGTCCTTCAGGATGGGCATCTCCACGGTGCAGTCCCTGCCGTCCAGCAGTGCCACCAGGGGCCGGGGGTGCATGGGGCCGTTCATGATCTGCGGGCGGATACCTGCGGGCACAGCGGGGATCCCCCTGTCAGGGCAGGGGCAGCAGCACCTGGGGACATCCTGGTGACACAGCAGGCTCAGGGGTAACAGCAACACGGGCTGGAGCCTGGCCAAGGGACTGCAACACTCCCTGGGAACACGGCTGCGGTTTTGCCCCTGGTTTGTTAGGGAATGGCTTTACCACTCTGATCGCCGCAGAAAAACAAGTCCAAACAGAGAATCACTCAAAAAATAGGATTACTGGAAAATCACGGGAAGAGCAGGACACTGAAGACCTCTTTAGCACAGAAGGTTATACTCTGATGTATTACCAGCTACCAAAGGTTTCATGGGAACAGCAAAGCTCATCTTTGCAAACCCAACACTCTCCTCTGAGATGAGGAAGGGATTGATCACCACCAAGGGCCACAGAAGGCTGAATTTTATATTCTATTATTGCTCTCTTGGGGATTAACTGGTTCATTTTGGGATAAGTCACTTAGAAATCTCTACACCTCCCTTTCAGTAAAGGTGTTTATTATATTAGGACCCTAGGAAATATCTCAGGTACCTTTCTCAGCTGCCCAGGCAGTTTCTGGGCAGAGCACAGGTGAGGGGACGAGGTGCTCTGGGTACAATGTGATGCTTTATTTCTGCTGCTGCACCACGAGGTGGCTGGAGCTGGAGGGTCTGGCTTTGAGTCTCCAAACCAGCAGAGAAGCAGCCCCAGCAGAGCTTCTCCTTACCAAATCCCACTTCTGCACAAGAACCCACCAGGGCTACCAGCCAACATCTGTCTGGCCTTTAAATGCAATGGTTGTGCTGGTCAGGGGAATAAAACCAGGGCTTGGCTGAGGGAACTTCAGGGGCTGTTTTGGGGTATTTTGTGGGGGAATCTCCCCCAGCTGATGTGGGTGTTACAGACACGGGCACTGCTGGCCACAGCGATGAACCGCAGACCTGTGGGCAGCAAGAGTGTGGTCCAGGGAGGGACCCTGCACTGCTGCTACACTCACACAGCTACACTCATTTTACACTGGAAAAAATAACTCCATGGAAACAGGCAGGTTAAATGGAGTGGGTTTAGTGGCTTTCCATTCCTTTTCTACTGAATCTGCTTAAAGAAATGAAGGACCAACTAAGCCAGCAGACCTGACCGAAGGTTTTCAGCATTACAGGTGGGCGCTTTTGGAACTGGTCCTTCCCTCCCCTTCCCTACTCAGGTCTCCATTAGTGGAAGTAATCCATTATGTTTGCCTGCATTTCATCCAGATGGGAGTGCAAGTGTGTCAGTAGGCAGGGTAGAGTGCCGAGACGATCTGGATAAGGGAAAGAAGCTTGTGATAAGCAGATAAGCAAGAATAAAAACATGGCCAAATCTCCGAGCGCTTACACAATCCCTCTGCGCAGCACTGCACCCCAGCTAGATTATTTTCTCAGGTTAACAAGCAAGTGAATTATAACACTGACTTAAATGCTTTCTAATGTGTATGATCTCCAAGGCTTAGAGCATCACCTGCCAGCCTCACACCACAGCTGCAAACGAAAAGGAATCTGCTGCAGGGCCAAGGTGGCCGTGGCTGTGCCAGTCCCAGTGGCCACCAGCCCTGTCCCCAAGCTCGGAGCCCAGTGCCCACCAGGGACCAGGACCATCCTCAAGGCAGAGCTGTGGGCACACAGAGGTTGGAGTGGCTTCCTGTGAGCGTGGCAGGTGGAAGATGAAACCACAGGTTAGCTGAAACTTTGACATTTAATCCAAGCCCCAAAATAACGGGTTTATTATGCTGCCCTTACATAAGCTTCTTTGAAAGTCAAACGAAACACAGCTTTTTTTTTTTCTTCCCCCCCTTTTTTTTTTAAGCAGCATCTGTGTCTTTGCTTGGGATTAGGGATGTAATTGTGCATGATGACACAGGCTTCTTAGGCACGTCACCCTTGCCCACACACTCAAGTGCAGTCACTGAGGATGAATGTGGCTGGAACCCATGAGGTACTCACAGGAACTGCTCTTGTTTCTCCTGCTTCAAGGAGAGAATTTATTTCAGCTCGACAAGGAAAGTTCTGAAGCAAATCAGTACAGGATGAAGTGCATAATGTATGGAAATTACGTTTTAATGAAAACCATTGGCAGGTTTGTAGCTTAAACCATGCTCTATTTTCCTCACCCACCTCTCCTGCTGCCTTTCCACCACCCTGCATCCAGGAAACCTCCTGGTTCCCACCTCTGCACAAACACATCCAAACCAACACATTTGGGCTGGCAAAACCAAACCACCCGGCTCATACAGCACGTTTGTTCTGCAGGCGACTGCTTCATTAAGAACGAGGTATGCCAGGGACCAGAAAGTAATTAAACAGCAGCCACTCCTCCCGAAATTGTGCTAAAACATCGCGGCCATTAACCCTTCCACTCTGCCAAGCCGAGGGTACGACGCTGTGTAAGCCACGAGCATCGCCACCCCTGCGGAGCTGGGCACCAGCTCTCCTTGGGGCTGGGGTGGGATCAGTTCTGCCTCCCAATTTTGGTGCCTCCCAATTTCAGTGCCTCCCACGCCATCTGAAGCTGATTTTTGCTGAGAACCCCTCCAGCTGTTCCTGCGAAGTTGGGGCAAGTATTGTTCAATACATTTTTTTTTTTTTAAGGCGTTTTCAGCCGCTTGCGGAGCCTGGCCAGCAGTGAGGGGAAAGCTTGCTAAGAAAGAGGGAGAAGAGGAATGGTTTACTGGGGGTGGAAAAAAGAAATAAAAAAAGAAGAGGCAAAAAAAATCAAGGTTTTGCAGCCACAGAGAACTCCAACTCCACCCCGGCTCACAGGCAGCGCCGCTTGTTGCACGCAGCCCAGCGTATAAAGTGCTTTTGTTTCATTTTTAATACACAAAGCCTGCTTGTCCTTTCCTGCCGCTCCTCCCCTTTGCCACCCACTTGTATCCGATCCCAATGGCACCCCTGCCAAGAGAATTAGGGAGTGCTCCCTGCTAAATGGCAGCCTTTGTGTGACCGCAAGACGGCTGGTACTATCTCACCGAAACAAAAGCAGAAGCCATTTGCCTAATTCTTATTAATCTCAGTTGCCAGCGCCATGCAGCATTAAAATAAAAAAAAAAAAAGGAAAACAGAAAAAAAGGCTTTAAACATGTTGCCCTGCAGTATATAAAAGTGCATCAAGAAGCGATCCTGACACTCGCCTGAATTACCCGCTCACAACCAAGTAGCTACAGTTTTACAGTCAACTACACACTTTATTAAACAAACAGAAAAGAAACAGGAAATTTCCCCTTGCCTGGAAAATGTTGCCTCCACATTCTTCTTCTTATTAAAAACCACACATGGCAGTGGAGGAGTAGGGAGGGAGGAGGAAGGGGGGGACCCACACACGATAAAATACTACCACTTTTCAGTGCGTTGCCTCTCCTTTCGTCTACGAGGGGGTATCTTCAAACAAGCGATCCCGCGGCCCACAGCTGCAACATCTCAAGACAAATGTCTCTTTGAACACGGAGGGAAAAGAAAAGGCTTTTGTCCTGAGCCCCAGAAGAATGGTCTGAAATTGCGAGAGGAGTTACAGTCACCTCTGCGCGGCTCCCAACTCTTCAGAGCACTCCCTCCAGACTTTGCCGAAGCTTTTAACTAATCGTAGTTCTTTCCCAGCCCTTGAACAAAATCATGTGAGTGCCAGCCAAAAAATCTTATGCTATGCACACTAAAGGGTTTGTATATGTCACAGTTGCTTTTCCCCCTTCCACTCCCCTCCTCCTATTGACTTGCACATATGACGGGTTTTTTTTCGAGTTGTCTCAAATGGATTTAATCTGTGCCACACTGCGTTTTATGTTTGTTTGGGTTTTTTTTGTGTACGTGGCTTTTTTTTTTTTTTTCGACTTAAAAATGAAACATGCCTTTCTTTCCATGCGGAGCGCGGCTCCAGAAAAAGGCTGATAGCCTTGAGCAGCAGCACCTCGAAAACAAACACAAAGCACTGGGGAAAGCAAGGGCTGTGCTGATCTCAGCTGCACCCAGAAACCAAGGGCCAAATCCTTTCTTGGTGTGTGAATCAACTGATTTTCCAGCATCAGAAATGACACTCGATTGCTGGCAGGATTCACATCTTCTTGGACACGTCCATCTCCTGGTCCTGCCCAGTTTGTCCCAAATAGGTAAAAGCAGCCCCACGTCACTGTTTGAGGGAATGGCTGGAGCTTTTTCAGGGAGGTTTAGGTTGGGTATCAGGGAAAGGTTCTTCCCCAGAGGCTGCTGGCACTGCCCAGGCTCCCCAGGGAATGGGCATGGCCCCGAGGCTGCCAGAGCTCCAGGAGTTTGGACAGCACTGCTACGGATGCCCAGGGTGGGATTGTTGGGGTGTCTGTGCAGGGCCAGGAGCTGGACTGGATGATCCCTGTGGCTCCCTTCCAACTCAGGGTATTTTATGACTTTATAATTGTCATCCCAATCCCCCACTCTGTCAGGAGTATGTAGGACACTGCTGCTGTGCAGCGAGAATGAGGGCAGGCTGTCCCTGTGCACTGCCCCATCTCCAGGGCACGGCTTGGAGCAGTTGTTGGAGCAGTTGTTTTTTCCTCTTTCCAGTTGCCACTGTCACTGCCAGCAGCACCAACAGCTACAGACAATCCTCGTCCAAAATAAGAAAAAAATCTGCACCTCAGTCCTGTTCAACACCATCAGCACTGCCTCTCCCTGCAGGGAGCTTCGGGATGCCCAGGGCATCCTGGAACTGGAGGAGGGGGCAGGAAAAGGGAGAACAAAGGTTCATTACCTGGAGCTGGTACTGACTTGTAACACTGACATCAGAAGACCTGTCAGTCTCCCTAAAATCCAGTCTATGACTACAGGACAAGGGGAATTGGGCACAACTTTCTAAACCATTTATGTTTTAGCATAAACCATTGCTAGAACACTTGGAAGTTCCCCACAGATTTGCTGTCCCAGCCATCACCTCTGCATGACAAGCTGGAGAGCCAAGGTCCCAAGGTGCCCTTTTAGGGGTCCCCACTCCCTGCAAGCAGAA